GGTATCCATCTAAAGCCAGCACTTTGCTGCGCTTCGCCATGGCCCTGGGCCCCTGTTCTCACGCCTGTGTCTGGAATCCCCCTCGTTTTGGGGGGAAGAAGCTTTGCTCTCACTCATGAGCGAGATCATGACTTGATCATGGCCGTCAATTGCCAATTAACTTCAAAATTAATATAGAAGGATCATTAAGTCTTCCCTTGTTGGGAGTTTTGTTCTTGTGTAACTGCCTTGCTTTTACCATCCTGATGATTTTTGTCCAATTCTCTGTTATGCTTGTGTGTGTCTTTCCCCCCATTTGAAATCAGAATGGGGAGGGAGAGGAGCTTGGGAGGAGTTTGTCCTAAGGGAGCCACAGTCAAAAAAGGCCGTGAGCTGAGGCTCCTGAGTTATAAGCAAAATGAGAGGATGAACCCAGGTGTCCTGCCTGGCAAGCACGTCAGCCCCGCCCACAAGTAAAAAAAAAAATACCAAAGAAGTTACGAAAGCAGCAGAGAGAGGCAGAGATTTTCTCCCCAGTCGCCCCCAGTAGGGATGATGGACTGGAACTGAGAATTAGGAAAAGAAAAACCTCATTGAAAGTGAAATATTTATTTCCCCAAAGTTTAAGGGAAAATATCCAAGATGCTTACTCCTCAGCTGCTAACATTGTTCCTCAGTCATCAAGGGCCAGGCTCCTAAATATTAGGGGGATAATCCCCAAAGTTTGAGTTACTCAGTTCAGACCCACACCATCAGGTTGGGGAGGGTGGTACCTTGGGATTAAAAAAATATGTATAGCCCCGGCTGGTGTGGCCCAGTGGATTGAGCTCTGGCCTGCGAACCAAAAAGCCACCGGTTCAGTCCCCAGTCAGGGCACATGCCTGGGTTTCGGGCCAGGTCCCCAGTAGGGGGCGTGCAAGAGGCAACCACACATTGATGTTTCTCTCCCTCTCTTCCTCCCTCCCTTCCCTGGCTCTAAAAATAAATAAATAAATAACATATATGCGCATTTTACATATGAGCTGCCCTGGCTGGGTAGCTCAGTCAGTCGATACATCATCCTGATGCACCAGGGTTGTAGGTTTGATCCCAGTCAGGGCACATACAAGCGTCAACCAATTGAATATGTCAATGAGTGGAACAAACAAATTGATGTTTCTCTCCCTCTGCCCTCCTCTCTCTCTAAGATCAATCGGTACATTAAAACATTTTTAAAAACTATGCAAGAAAAATTAGGAGACCTTGAAACTACTTCCCAGGGGGACTGAACTTTGAAAAGGGATGTAATGGTGCCCGGAGAGAAGGGAAATGAAAGTGTGTCAATGTCTCTTCTCGTGGGAGAGGAGAGAGGAATACCTATGAGCTCTAGGTGTTCACAGAAGAGGATGAGTTAAAATGTACATGCATGTATACATATGAACATGTACACACATGTATGTGTATACACATAGAATTACATAAGTGTGTGTGTGTAGTCAGTTAGCTAGTGTTAGAGTTGCCCGGTTTGGCCTGATATTTTGCATAAACACACCCAAAATAGCAATGGATGTATAGACTTTCTCTACATTTATTTTTGTAGAATCTCATAAGGAATTTCTACATCGAACACGAATTAGCCTCTCAGGGCAAATTATGAATTGAAAGGGGGGAAAATTCCGGGTGTGCGGGGACATTAAAACTCAGTTTGGTATAAACTGCATTATACTAAAAATGCAGGAAAGAAAGAATGCATTTAAATTTTAAAAACAGAACCCATGAAACAGGGTGGCAGAAATAAATGTCAGCATATCAGTCATTATACATAGTACATTTGGAATGGGTTTGGTTCTTCTTGAAAGATAGTGATTCTCCGGTTGGGTGAAAAGGAACAATAATTCAGCCACGTGCTGGTTACTAAGAGTGAAAAGTTCAGCTAAAAGAAGAGAGTGAGACAGGCAGACAGACATTTGGAAAGGTTGAAAATACAAGCACAGGAAGAGATAAGCCAGGAAAAGGTTAGTATAAAAGTGTACGTGGGGAGAATTGTCAGGCACAATAGCATATGAGGCAAGATCTTTCCTTGGCACAGAGACTTTTCATAATAAAAAGTTACATCCCGCACTGACTGGCATGGCTCAGTGGATGGAGCGCGGGCTGTGAACCCAGGGGTTGCTGGTTCGATTCCCAGTCGGGGGAAATACCTGGGTTGCTGGCCGGGTCCCCACTGGGGGCCACATGAAAGACAACCACATGTTGATGTTTCTCTCCCTTTTTCTCTCCCTTCTCCTCTCTAAAAAGAAGTAAATAAAATCTTTTTTAAAAAAATGGTTACATACCTACGAAAACACGAGTTATTAACATTAAGGCATCTAATAAACCAGGTTTGAAATATATAAAGAAAAAACCAATGATATATGAAGACCAGTTGATAAATCCATGTTCACGTTGGGAAACCATCATTTTATAGAAATCAGTGGTTCAGCAAGACAAATACGACCGACAGAGAAGTTGATTTATAAAGTAACAAAATGGTCTGTAATAATCGTCCTTGTGTTTAAGGGTCCCCCCGCCCCGAGCATCCTTACACACTCCTGATGGAAGTGGAAATCCGGAGGGCCCTTTGGAAAGGCAGTAGCACTTAGCTGCGTCTAGAAACCTCCGACCCTACATTTCACTTCTGGGAACTTTCGTTAAGTAAATAGCATGTGTGTACCCAACCAATGATGTCAAAGCTAGTCGTCGCTTTGGCAGCCACCATTAGAAGACTAAACTGATGCCCATCGGGCGGGTGGTGGTTAAATAAATGTGGTACAAACACACTGGGGCACAGGTGGCAAACGCAAGGCCCGAGGGCTGAACCCGGCCCTCCACCTGGTTTTATCCGGTCGGTACCTTGTTTTCTACCCAGCGGCAGCGCCGAGCTTTCGCTTACCTGTTAAGGAGTAGTTACGTGTACACAGTCCTAAAATGACATTCGGCCCTTTGAAAGTGAGCACGAGGCTGATGTGGCCCCTGGGGAAAATGAGTTCGACACCCCTGCACTAGGGAATCTTGTTTAGCCATTAAAAAGAATGAGCAGAATCTACCGTATTTCTCAGACTATAAGATACCCTTTTTTTAAAACCGCATTTTTTTTTTTTTGTTTCAAAATTTCCCCCTATTTTTCTCCTCTAAAACCTAGGTGCATCTAAGGTTCTCACCATAAGACACACTTAGGTTTTGCAGGAGGAAAATAGGGGGGAAATGATGAAGCAAAACAATGTGGTTAAAAAAAGTGCATCTTATAGTCTTAAAAATACGGTATATGGGTTACTAGGGGGAGAGTTTCAAGGTCTGTCATGAAGTGAAAACAAGGTGAGAACACTATGAACAGTTTGGTCACTGCTAAAAAATTTCAAAAGGAGATAACACGTACACTAATGAGCATTTCCCTAGAAGGTTGTTCAGAGAATCGTTACTAGTGGTTTTCTCTTAGGAAAGGGGATGGGGATTTGGGATGAACAACAGGGGAGCTTTGACTTTTCATTTTTGTGTATTTCTACACTTCAAATATTCTAACTATATGAGTAAATAAACTTTTAAATGGTAGCTGTACCTAAACCAGTCTATTTTATGACATTTAAGCTTGTTATGCAAATCAACTTTTTTTTGGCTAATAGTCCATCCTGTGTGTCCTCGCTAAGTAACGGGAGACCTGGTGTGTTCCTTTCAGACGACAATTTAGATAGAAAAACTGAGTAGGTCTTGAAGGCTGATAAATACACAAACATGGAATGTATTACGAATAGGCAATCTGACTATAAAATAGGGAAGCTGATGTTCATAAAATACACACTTATGAACCAGTCCCTGTACTTTATACTTTTTTTTAAATCAACTTTTAAAAAAAATATTTATTTATTTATTTTTAGAGAGAGGGGACGGGAAGGAGAAAGAATGGGAGAGAAACATCAAGGTGTGGTTGCCTCTCATGTATCCCCTACTGAGGACCCGGCCTGCAACCCAGGCATGTGCCCTGACTGGGAATTGAACCAGCGACCCTTTGCTTCACAGGCCCGTGCTCAATCCACTCCAGCCAGGGCTGTACTTTATACTCTTGATCGTCTAAGACAGTAATCCACATAAACCGTAACCCACAGGGCAGTTTCCACCCGGGTTCCCAGGGCACCTGGTTCTAAGGCTGCCACCAGCCGCGGCATAGAAATGGGAGAACAGGAGACAGTTCTGAGTGTGTGTGTGTGTGTGAAAACGCATGTCCCAGTGTGCATTTTGGAGGTGGCTTAGATTATTGCTGCTTCTCATCTGTATTTTCTGAATTAATGCTGAATTAAGTGTTGACTGTCATGCTTCAGTTTTCAAAGTGGTTTTCACGCTTACCAAAAGCATCCTGAAGAGAGTGGCTGCACACCCGATGCCTGCCTTGCCCTGGGGGGCCAGGCGCCAGGCTGAGCAATGGATTACTAACCACCCAGAGGGAAGTAGATGCCTCCTCGTTACCTAGGCAACCTCAGTCTAGCCTTCCTTGCTTCTTGGATGCTTACAGAGTTGACTTTTTGTGAACCTCGACATTGGAACCTTTGAACTTCATCAGGAAAGATTTCTGAACTAGCAAGCTGCTAAGGAATATTCAGGGAGGGTATCTGGTAGAATGTGTTTGCACCCTGATGCTTAGCTTGTTGGTTGATGTGGGAATGTGACATTTTTGTTTTTATTTCTTTCTTTCTTAACCCCCCCCACCTGAGGACATGTTTTTCATTGATTTTAGAGAGAGAGAGGAAGAGGGGAGGGGGTAGGGAGAGAAAGAGAGAGAGCATTCAGGTGAGAGAGAAATACCCATACGAGAAACATGGATTAGTTGCCTCCAGTATGTGCCCTGACCGGGAATGGAACGTGCAACTTTCCGGTGCACGGCAAGATGTTCCAACCAACTGAGCCACCAAGCCAGGGCGGGAAGGTGACATGTTTAAAGCTCTTCTCAAGTACCTGCGTAGGAAGTGTGCCACTTGTAGAGCTGTCCGTTTCAAGATTCCCCCTTCTTGCAGGGTCACGCCGTCCTCTGAAAACCCCAACGGTGCTACTGCCGGCGGCAGCCAAGGCAAACCTTCCCTGAGGCGGATTAAAGGGCGGCTGCACCGCAGCAGGAGCCTGGACAGCCTGGATTTCTGCGAGCTCACTGTGAGTAGGCCCTCTGGCGGGGGTTTCATTTTCTCAAAGAGCGCGAACGCTTCCGTTTTTAATTTTCCCCCCAAAAACACAACAGACTCGTTTTGCTGCAAGCATTCTTCTGTTCAGTAAAAACTGGTTTATTTAACAGGTCGCCCGTCTGCACACTCTCCGAACTGGCAGCCATGTGGTTCATTTCTAATAAATGGTTCATAGTGGCAATTTGGACTCAAAGACTAAGGGAGATAAAGAAATGTTTCCAGAACTCTATGACCAGAATTGAATTAAATTCAGTGGAATGAATGTGTAGTATGATTTGATACATTATAATAAAGATAATGTACTATAATAATATAATGTGTAATATAATATATAATGTAACATTATATATATTACAGATCCCAATTTACTTAATGCTGATGATGGTGTCCTTCCATTCTAAGTGATTACTGTTAGCGGTGTTAAGTTTTTCCAGGATGAGTGACAGGGTTTCATACGGATATGTGATCAGTTCACGCATGTCTCTGGGGGAACCCTGGCCCTTTTAGGCCCTACTGTTATTTCCCGTTAATCATACTGTCCTAGGCCATAGACGACAGTGCAGTGCCACAGAGAGAACACTAGGACTTTCTTTGCTGCGAGAGGGCTTTGTCCACGTTTATTTGTCGTAGGGTTCAATGGCAAGTCAACGAAGGTCTCGAATACTTGGTAGACCAGATGTACGAACTCTGACACACTCTGAATAGGTGGGAACAAAGTGTGACACTGAAGCCTTTATTTTTTTTTTTGAGAGTATGATTTCCGCATCTTTTACGTGCAATTGATGAAAACAAAAGTTCAGTAAATGTGGATACTCTAGTTTATACATTTCAGTTTTAAAAATTTTAGTCATTCTTTTTAGTGAAATGGTTTCACTCAATTCTTTTATTTAAAAGAGTGTGCTTGACTACATTTTATGGCATGAGACATAGGAAACTGACATGTGACCTCCCTGAGGACAGTTAAGCAATAATCGAAAAGAAAAAGTAAAAAATAGCCCTGGCTGGTATAGCTCAGTGGATTGAGCACAGGCTTGTGAAGCAAAGGGTCACCGGTTCGATTCCCAGCCAGAGCACATGCCTGAGTTGCAGGCCAGGTCCCCAGCAGGGGACACACAAGAGGCAACCACACATTGATGTTTCTCTCCCACTCTTTCTCCTTCCTGTCCCTGCTCTCTAAAAATAAATAAATAAGATTATTTTTTTTAAAGTAAAAAATAGTAAATTCTTACTAAGTAGATTGAACAGTGAAAGTGACTGAAGAAAACAGAAGTATGGTTTAAAATAAAGTGCATTGCTTTTCGAAAGTGAGACATTGAGTTAATTGAGAAACCTTTGCATTGTTTGTTGGAATATGAAATTTTATCAGTTCTTTCATATGATGTTGAACACTGGCATTAGTGATGTGTAATCAGATAAATAATTCACGTGGCATGTTGTTAGAATATGTTTACTTGATCAAACGGAATCACTGTGGTTGAGGGGAAAGGTTAAAATTTCTGCATACATGGTGGGAAAAAAAGCTTCACTTCATGTAAAATTGCCTTCAGTTTCCCAGGACTGATTCATTATTTCAGCTGCGAAGAGAAGTTGGGGAATAGAGTTGTCTTTTTTATTTGTGATGCATGTTGAAAGATGATTATGCAGGGTTAATTTCTTCTTTTTGGCGATCTGTCCTGTTTGACCCCATCTCAAAAGCGAAATGCCTCAGCAGTCCCGCAGGGAAGGCGAGTTGACCTTGAGGTTAAAAAAGAGGTCAAATTGAACTTGCAGAAGGTCCATGGCTGGGAGGCGTGGTGTGCTGACCTTAACCGTTCACTCATCTTTATGGCCCCTGTTTGTGATGTTGGCGTTCTGCCTTCTGAAGAAAAGCATCGAAGGCCGTGGACTTGGGTGTGCCCGTGTCCCAGCTCTCTGTCAGGAAGGGGAATGTATTCATGAACTCCACTTTCTGCAGTGAATTTGGGTTTTCTACAATTTGAGTTTATTTTCTCTCCCAGGTCTTCCCAGTCACGGCTGGTGGCGCAGCAATTTCTATCTATGATACTCTTGGATCATTTTCAGAGTGTTAGAAATTTTTACAGTGAGCGTCTTCCGTTTTTGGAAAACCAATAAACTGATTTTCCAAGCAATACAAAATAAATGGAAGGAGAGCCTGTTTGTTTGGCTACTCCCGCTTTCTACCATAGGCTGTGACAATGATGCTGTAATGTCCCCCACATAGGGGCGTGTAGCATCTTTGGCACGGGGTTGAAAAAGAACTTTCCACCTCTGCTTTTAAAATCCTATGTTTCTTTTTATTTATTTTGTATTTTTTAAAGATATTTATTTATTTATTTTTAGAGAGGGGAAAGGAGGGAGAGAGAGAGAAACATCAATGTGTGGTAGCCTCTCATGTGGCCCCCACTGGGGACCTGGCCTGCAACCCAAGAATGTGCCCTGACTGGGAATCGAACCTGCAACCCTTTGGTTCACAGCCCGTGCTCAATCCACTGAGCTACAACTGAGCCAGGGCCTATGTTCCTTTTTAACAGAAGTAAGAGCTGGACTATTTTTAAAACGTGGATTAGAAAGGGTTTCATGGGAGGTAAGAGGTGTTCAGGATTGGTTCTCAAATGCGTTTGACTTTGTAATACAGTTGTGGAAAACCAAACTTTAAAACCTTACCCACAAAGTCTAAAGGGGCGGGGGGCACTGTAAAGGGTCTATAATGACTTCCAATCCTACAGGAAAAAAAACATAATCCTTCTTCCCTTTTAGGAAGTAGCTCAGCCGCCATTGATATCTCTTCATCAACGTTCTTCTCACCCCAAAAGACTGAAAATTTTGCCATATGATACACTATTTTTAAAGTTTGTAAACATTTTAATGAAATGGATGATTGCCTTTGACTGCCAAAGGAAATGGGAAACGTTCAAACAGAAACACCTAAACCGAGTTTATACTCTCCTTAGTTCAAAATCTCAAATTTGCAGAATCAGCAATAACATTGATATATTTGCTTACTTTTTCCTTTTAACTTTGCCTAAAAAAACATGCGCTTTCTCTTGCTTTTGGAGAAACAGCGAGTGGAACAAGACGTCCGCTTGCTGTGGTTCTTGGGTCTCCATTTCTGGCCAAGAAGCCGCAGGTTCCAGCTGAGACCCTTGGCTTCGGTCCCTGGCATTGGACCGACGCCTCTGCACCCCCGGGGGGGAGGCGATTGTTTCGGCCCTCTCTGTGGGAATGAAGAGGGATGGGCTTTCTAGTGCGCGTTGCGAACCCTACAGCATTCTTGATTGACAGCGCAGTTTCCCGAGGGGTCCTGGAATGCATCCCATCTCCCTGGGTTCTGGAGACAGTGTCCTAGAAATACGTCGTAAAATCTTCCCAGGCAGGGCCTGGGCTGGACCAGCCTGTAATGGAGACGTGGTCCCGTCTGTTGTGGAGATGTGTTATTGCCTAGAAAACCCAAGCCTTTCTTCAGGACAAACACTTGCTGAATGCATGAAGGGATTTGATGCAATGAATAAATGGCCTGGCTTGCAGGTAGGTTGTGGCGGGGTCGGGGCGGGGGGGCGGTTCTTGAAAATGAAAACCAAAACCACCACTTGCCAAACATGCCCCGATTTGCAGAACAGATGAACGCTGCCAGGCCATGCCATCATGCCCACCATAAACGGCGTCCAGACTCTAACATCTGTGGGCACAGACCCGTAGGTTCCCAGAGAAGACTGGGGACAAGCTGGTGTACCGGTAACTCCTCAGGCTCTGTTACTGCAACTGTTCCAGCAACTCCCTAGCCTGCAGTTCTGACCAGTCTTTGCTGAGACCAACTCTTACCCTCAGGCTGCGTGCACACCCTTTCCTCCTGCCCCTACCACGGAGATGCTTCGAGGTTCCCCACGGTTTCCTGTGGGGAGTTTTGTCCCTCTCTGCTGCATGGGAATAGACCTGACCCTGGTGGACTGCAGGTGTGTTCTGGTGGTCTTTGGCTGGGAGGCTTTGTCAGATGGCAGGGAAAGAGAAGGTTTAGCCCTGGCTGGCGTAGCTCAGTGGGTTGAGCATGGGCTGTGAGCCAAAGGGCCACTGGTTCAGTTCCTAATCAGGACACATGCCTGGGCTGCGGCCCAGGCCCCCAGTAGGGGGCGTGTGAGAGGCAACCACACACTGATGTTTCTCACTCTCTCTCACTCCCTTTTCCTCTTTAAAAAAATACATAAATAAAATCTTTTAAAAAACACTAGAATGATCAATAGGGAGAATTTTAAAATATTGTTGTGAAATATGTTCTAACTTGAGGAAAAGTTGTAAGGATAGTACTGAGAACCCCCACAACCCTGCTGTCCCCAGTTTCCAAGCTGGTAACCCCACTGCATTTGCTCCATCGCCCTCTGTCCAGCCATGTGTAGAGCGTGTGTGTTTGCACTCATTTTCCTTTGTCTTCTGCTCACCCCTTGAGATGGGATGTCCCCCCACCCCGAAACTGCGCAGGGTCCTGCTCCTCCAAACGCGGGCATTCTCGGCCTGACCCCCACATCAGCCAGTCAGGAAGCCAGCACTGAGGTGACAGTACTGCCCAGCCCAGGCTCCCAGTCAGCCTTTCGCGCTGTCCAGCACTGCGGCCCTTTTTCCCTCCCGGCCTGGGACCCCATCTGGCAACCTGCATCGCTTTCCGGTGTCCTGTCTCTCCGACCTGCACCTAGGGCGGCCAGTGCGACCTCGTGACCAGCCTTAGGTCACACGTTCCTGGTAGGACCTGCCCGCCCTAGTCACCAGGCACCTGGCCTCATCCCTGGACAGGACCCCCGGGAGGGGGTCCGCATATCACTGCTACGTGGGGCTGCGCGCACTGCTGTCGGGTACGGGACTCCATCGGATTGGCCGCACTCCGTGATTTCCCGCGGTGCGAGGGGACTCTCGGGTGGCGCTCTGAAGCTCTTCTGCAGAGCACAAGAATCTGGTTGTTTATCAAATGAGCTTCAGGGCATCCAG